AATCTTTTGGTGCAAGGAGATGCTATGAGTCAAGACTGGGACAAACAAACCCTCCAAAGACACCAAAGAAATAGTAAAAGTACTGACACCTCCAAAATGATCGAGTGAACCACAGGTATTTTAAGGATACTTGGAGGGTCTAGGTGAAGGCTTTACTTCCCTTCGGTGATTTCACAGCTGGGTCAACCTGAGGCATTCCATGTTTGATCGCTGGCATTTCCAGGGTTTAACAACGTGACCATGAATCACCTGGTCATATTATCAATCATTAACCATTTTCATCATCCATCATTAATAATACATAATCCATGGTTATTTTCACGTTATTAACCATATATGATCATGAATCACCATCATATCATATGGAGTTGTTTGAAAATAGAAACCCTAAAATCCCATGGTTTGTCAGTTTATCATTATTTGCCTTAACAGATTGCCATTTGGGGGTCATATCCCATTTTCAGACAAAGCCTAATAGTTATATAGATTATATATCCATTTGAATTCACAATTCTCCGCATCATTGATTTGTTAAATTGCAATATATCCCCATTATATCCATAAATTCTTGGCTATATCATCTATGGGGATATAATCCTGTTAATGGGGATATAATGGTATTAACCATTAATGGATATAACCATTATTTATCATATATCAGGATTATGGTATTCCATCATAATCCTGTTAACCATCATAATGGAGATTCCTGATATATCATGGAGATCATGGAGATCACTGGAATGGCTATCCCCACCATTCTTGATGGTTACCGTTTGGTTATGACTAACATAGCCATGGTATAGATGACCCATAGAAATAGATGGTTTACCTATTAATAGCATGGTGATGTTCCATGGCGAACTGTTAGGTTAAATAACCAGAGGGAAAAAATCAATTCCCATATGCTCCATGTATAGAATATTTGCCAACATTGGCCCTAAAAATCACCCAGTGATGTAGGTAAATATACCATACCCTCTGGTAAACGTTCACAAAAACTATGGAAAGATCCACCATTTTGTTAATGGGTAAATCCACTATTTCTATGGCCATTTTCAATAGCAAACTGTTAGTTTACCAGAGGGTACATGGAGCATATGGGATTGATCTCCATGGTCCATGATAATCCCCATTCCAATCCACAAGCTGGCGCTGGCGCGGTTCCACCGCTTCGAACGGGACATCTCAGGTGCGAGCTGAACAGATCCACCATGAGCCGCAGAAATGTAAACAGAATAAGAATAAGATCCAGGACGGTAAGCTGGGAGGAAAAACAAAGGGAAACAATAGGGGTTTTACCCTCTGGTAAACTAACATAACTATGGAAAATCACCATGTTCAATGGGTAAATCCACTATAAATGGCCATTTTCAATAGCTATGTTAAATTACCAGAGGGTAATTGAATTTCATGGTTTATTTCATGGGATTTGATTGGGAAAATGATGACTTTCTGCTGTTTTTCCTCTGGGGAAACACCAAGGCTTTTCCAGGACCCAACTCCCAAACTGATCCGTCGACTTTCCGTTGGCGCGCCAGGATTGGTCCGAATCTTCCACCTTGTCGGAGGCGTCTGTTGAGGTGGAGAAGGCGGATGGATCTGGCGCTTACTGTAAGGCTTTAAAACAAAGAAGAGATGGACAGACATGAACTATATGTATGTAATTGTATATACATATTATACATGTGATTATGTATAATTAGATAAATCTATAGCTGTGTGCTTATCAAGCTTTGTACTTTATCGCATGAAATATGGGTGGTTGGTGGCATTGTATCCTGCACGAATGGAAATTGTGCCCAAAAGGCTGGGGGTTAGCCTGGCAAACCTGGCAAGAGGTGGTTGAAACATGGGAAGGTGGTAGCTGGATGAGCCTTGGTTCAGTCAGATGCCCTCTTGTAATCAAACATCTAAGGTTCGGGCTTGTTTGGTACAACCCAAGGCAGAAAAAAACACACGCTTTCTTTACGACAGATATTTTTAGGTAGTTGCCCTGCAGGTTTTTGCAAACGACATTGGTGGGGTCTAAAAACTCTGGAGACGCTGTCCTCTTTTGCAGGCAATGTCCCATGTTCACGCTTTTGACATTTGACATGGAATATTTCATAATATCTCTAACCATGTGTGAGGTCATGACTTTTTGTCATCTTTTTTGATGGTTCCCAGTGGAAGTTCCCAGTGTGTTTGCAGATGACCATGTTAAATTTTTAGGCCATTCGACCGCCTCCGGGCCTTGAGCTCGTGCGCTTAAGCGACGTAGAGTCACTTGGCAGTGTCGAATCGTGAGGATCTTGGGTAGTAAAGTGGGTTTGAAGATGGGTTGTTCTTAGTAGCCATGGGTTTATAAGTAAATAAGTATAACTCATGGAATTTGACTAATATGGGCATGAGTTGCTTGGGTTACGGTTCCAGGTTATAAGTTATTAAGTTATTATCGTTTTGCATATGGGATCGCCCAATTAAGCCACCCTTGGGGCGCCAAGGAATATCAACGAGGGTTTATCCGTGGTTGACATTGATGGTTTTCAAGCCTGCAAATCCATAGGGAAGCCAAACCCTAGCCCAACATTGAATGGCTAGTGATATCATCATTATTGAATTTCAATCTACAAGCTCACAAGAAAATGCAAGATGCGAAAATTTATGTAGTACTATTGCTTGAGAAGTATGTTCCCGTTCAAATCTATTCAATATTACGATTATATATATATCATGAAATTGATTTATCAATGAGACGATCTGGATTTCCACCCTGCCCGTGATGCCCGTAGCCACATATGTCTCACCCATTTTTGGGGGGGATAGATCGATAGATCCGGAGATCCGGGCTATGTATTTGATAACTTTTATATATGTAAATGGTACGGTTGTTAGAATCACACATTCCAATTTATTAAATACTTTGACATCATAAGATATCATAGTTAACTATGTTGATCTATATTATATATTGTTTTTCAGCAAGCTATTGGTATATAAAGTATCTCCCAAAGAAAAGACATGATTAACTTTATGCACCCAACATATATGAAGATCTTGAGTAACTAAGATCTCACATTAAAACCTTAATCTTGAATGTTTGGGAACGTCTGAATAATCATGTTTGATATCCACAAATCCTTAGATCTCAAAAATAGTTCTTGAACATCTCAAAATGCCCTAATCAAATGATACCCTAGTATATGATTAATGTAGTATACCGATTAGTGTCATGGACCTTCATTATGAGATTTGTTTTAAAAAAATATTGAGTATCCTGTAAGTGGTGGGGGTGGGCCTCTATTGTGAGATTTGTTTTTTTCTCAGATCCGTTTTGTTTCAGGAGGAGCTTTATCACCTTTATACACCTTTCTTTGGGTAAAGCTGGTCGATTTACTTCAGAAAGCCATATCCATGTTCAAGCCTTGAAAATGCAAGGTTTCACCCCCAAAAATAGATGCCTTATTAAAACCCTTATTAATTGAAAAAAACATCACCCAACCAATTTTCAAGGGAGTACCCCATGAGTGACCCAGATCCCCAGTATGTAATTGTTTGGATGGTAACCTATTTTGCACAAAAACTTTTGGGGCGAGTTGTTTTTTGATTAAAAAGGACAATCAATTGAAAGTAGATTCAAATGAATTGAAAGGAAATTAATTTCAAATGAAATCCTTTCTTATCAATAGATTTCTTTGATGTTTAAAAGGAACATCAATTGAAAATTGATTGATGTCAATTGAAATCCTTACTTAAGTTGATCATCCTGAATTCCCCAGATCTGGTTCCCAAGAAAATGCCGAGTTATTGAGTAGACCAAAATTGTTGAGGGGGGCCCTGCACTAATCAGTAGCCAACATTATAGTGATTAATGGCACCTAGGGAAACCATTGGCTTTCACATTTTTCCCCACCTGCCAGGTGAGGGCCTCTAGACTTTAACAAAGGTGCATCTCCTCCTTCTCAACTCCTTCTCCTTCTCAACTACTTCTTCTTCTTCTTCTTTTTCTTCTTCTTCTTCTTCTTAAGAAGCTTCTGCTTCTTCCGCCTACAGTACTCTTCCCTCTACTCCTTCTCCTTGCTCCTGGTGTGCTCGTGCTCCTCATGCAGCTTGTCGTGACGGTGGGTTTCAATTGTTGTGAGCCATATCGCGAGCTTTGCATGCAGCTGGGCCCGCCTGGACCCGCATGCCGGAGAGAATGTCAGATAGAACGCCAGAATGAATGCCAGAAAAGATGACAGATAGAATGGCGGAAAGAATGTAAGTCAAAATAGATGCCGGATATAATGCTAGAAAGAATGTCGTGAGAAATGGCAGGTAGAATGTCAGCAATAATGTCAGAATATATGCCAGAAAGTATATCAGATAGAATGGCAGGATAGATGCGAGATAGCATGCCAGAAAGAATGTTAGATAGAATGTCATAGTATATGCCAGCAAGAATGTCAGATAGAATGTCACATAGAATCAATGCCATCAATGCATCAATGCCATATATACTTCCAGAAAATATGCCAGAAACTCTGTCAGAACAATGTGTCAGGGTGGGCATCACTCGAAGTGAAGTACAGTAATTTTAGCACATTTACCCTAAAAGGGGAATCCTGGGCATACTTAGAACATTCCAGTGAACAACCGGTTATCAAGTGGGGCTTTAAGCCACACACACATATATATATGATTATATGATAACCCCACTTAGGTGACTTACTCACTAGGGTTATCAATCAGTTGAACCAGTTGCCATAAGCGAGATGATCCTCCAAGTACCCTTTGGTAGATCATTTTCCTCGGTAAATCATGTTTTTTTTCCACATCTTCCAAAGGTTTCTATGGTTTTCCAAAGCTTCCCTGGGTTTCCCCATGGCTGCAAGATGGTACCCCGCAGTTTTTAGTTGGTTTATAAACTCCATGAACTATATAGTTATATCTACCATAAACCCTGGTTTTAACGGTTAAACCATGTTAAGCCACTTATATCCCAACTTTGGGGCCTCATCCTGCCCTTCCGGCAAAGGATGGCCAGCCTTTGGCAGCAGTGGCCCGTCACCGACGGCCCCGACGCCGACGCGTCCGAGACCGCTGCCGCGGACGGTGCCGATGACAGCCCCGGCGGCGGCTGCGCCTCCACGGCCGAGACGGGGGCCTCCGACGCCGCCACGCAGCAGCCGACGGAGGCGGAGGAGAGCCGGGCCGGGGGCAGGTGGTTTTTTCGTGTTATCCATGAATTATCATTGATTGCAAATTATATGTAATATATATATATATGCATAGTAGATAATGTGTACCTACTGCGGTGATTAATGACTAAGTACTTTTTCATGGGACAGTTGATTTAAACATTGCCAAGTGGAATCCAACAATGAATGGACCCTGATGTTAGTAAAGCAATAGGATCCACCACCCCTGATTGACCCTTTCTATGGGTGGTAAAAACCATCATTTCATATGGATGGTTTTGTGGCATTTCTTTACTAACATTATATATATATATATGTTTTGTGTCCACACTGGCTATGAGTCAAAACCCGGGCAGCGTAAGGACCCTCCAAAAACGATGGTTTTAATGGGTGCCTCTATTTCACCAAACATGGTAAGAATAGGTTTTTACCCATCCCCATAGGTGGTGTGGTTCCATGTGGTGCCTCGAATTTTAGCAAAACATGTGTGATTTAATGACTAGGGGGTACTAAGGGATATCTCATAACTGGGATATAATATGTTATACAATAAAATGGTTTTGGGATGTTTCAAAAGGGATTTTTCAAGGGATGCCCATCCTTGCAGCAATCCGCGAGCGCGCATCATGGCCTCAGGACCAATCCGAGCCGCAGAACAGCGATGCACACTCTGAGAAGAACTTTCCAGAGGACTCTGGGACTGCGGCAGTTGGCTGGATCCAAAATATAGTGGTTGGTGGTTTCAAACATGAATTTTATTTTCCATTTCATATATGGGAGAATCCTTCCCATTGACTAATATTTCTCAGAGGGGTTGAAACCACCAACCAGTATAGGATGGTGACTGAAAAGATCCAGCCCTGCAGTGGCAAGAATGAGCCTGCTGTTGGTTTCGGGGTTTGCCTGGCGGATGGTTTCAAAGGTGTTTTTTTTTCCTCCACCAGTTTTCATTCCCAAGCTTTATTTCGGGTTTGTTACATACAACGTCACCCTTTTGGGGTGGCTGCCTCAACCATCGACCAACCAGCTTCAAATTGATAGCACTTCTCAACTCGTCATCAAGAGAAGGCTTGATGAATGTTGATGTTTTAGATATAAAACATTGTGACAATTCATGGCTATTTTAAGTTACTGGAGGATACCACATATCATCACTTGTCCTGGTTTCCCACATCTTATTGGGTTTCTTAAAACCATGGGGCACGGTCCTGCGGTGCTGTCCGATTCAGGATGCTCTGGAGAACCCTGACCATGGTGACCATGACACAGCACAAGACCAGGTTGTCATTGATCACCAGGACCGGCTGGGCTGGTTGATGGGACGCCTTCTGTAGGAGTCCTTCGTTGATGGAAGAAATCCTGCACCACCTTGGATGGTTGAAACCCTATAAATAATGGGAAAAATGACAATCAACTGGTGCAGCAATTATTCCATCCACAGTTGCTCAATGTTTTTCAATGTGTTTTTTCTTGCAGAAATCTTCGGACATGAGAATGCGGTCAATCCTTCTAGAAGCACACCAGTTTTTCCAACATTCTGCCATCCGGAGGTATCAGAATAACTAAAAACGATACCCCTAACATCCCCTAGGCCCTAACAATGTTGCCCATAATAGTCTAGATTCTATAAGTAGGTTTATCACATTGGTGAAAAATTGGAGAACCGGGAGGAGACTCACATGTTCCCAGGCGGGTGGAGCTCCAAGTTTGATGGGTTTGGTTCCTCTCAAGCCATGGACGTAAACTTGATTTAATCAGTTGAAATATATGTTCCAATACTAATTATCACTGAATATATCAGTGAGCTCTCGGAATATTACAACCCAGGCTATTTTGGGATCGTTACCCCAACCATGATTATCACCCAGATTCCACCATTGTCTACAATCCATCTCCCCTTTAGTAGAATGACTCCCTTTTCGCCGGTCGCAGGAGCCCCCATCAGAGGAAGCCATTCCACAGGAGGAGCCCAAAAAGGCACCGGGAATCGGGGCACCGGGAGGGGCCCCCAAGGGCTTTGACATTGGTGACTTAATAAACAAACATGGTGGTATCATTGGATATTATATGATGTAATATGGCTGACATAATAACAACACATCCCCCAAATAACCATAAATAGATGTATAAACCATTCCCAAATGGGTGGTTTATTATTTTTTCCAGCATTATTCGAATGTCTAAATTGTCACAGAGAAAAACTCCAAAAAGAAAGCGTTTCTGTTCGCAGGATCTAGATGATATTTCACCATCCAGGTGTCCGACTTTTGGGCCTTTATCTTGAAGTTGCTATATATATATACAGCTGGTTGGTGGTTTGGAACATTTGGATTATTTTTCCATATATTGGGAATAATACTTTGCACGCGAAGGTGTGTGCATCTGCATGGGCAGCAAGAGCCTGACTCTCTGAAGCATGGCAAATTGCAAAAATTGGGAATAATAATCCCAACTGAGTTTCATATTTTTCAGTTGGGTAGGTATACCACCAACTAGGTATGTTTGGAGTTGACAATGTGAATTGGAGACTCATACCCAATTAGCAGAAGCTGTCCATTTGGACCTCTGTTTGGCACCCACTCAAAACTCAAACCATCCAAAAACCCCAATTCTCAAGACGCTCAAGAAATATTGTAATTTTAAATCATTTGCATTTCAGGACTAGGTTTGAATACCAAAGAGTAGGTGGTTCAAACGACAGATGCATCAATATTTGAGGCCGCCAATCTACGGCGCATTTGGGAGTAGCATCCAGCCGCGTACTTCAGGTGGAAGTCCAAGAAGCGGAGGAAGTGGAGACAGTTGAGGCCGAAGAAGCCGTGCAAGAGGATGAAGACGATGAAGATGTGGAAGGCATGCCAGAAGATGAGATGCCAGAAGATGAGGAAGATGTTCCTTTTGAGGAGGCGAGGGATGTCGACAAGGGATGATCGTGAATAGTATTAAAAAAAGCCTAGTGATGCCAAATGTGAAACCCCATCAAATTATGTCAAACTGATGGGCAGGAATTAACCCTTACATCTTACATCATCTTACCATTTTTTTTTGACCACCTTTTTGAGGAATGAACCGTAAATATACGTAAATTGCAAGGAGTCATGATGTGAGTTGAAAAACCTTCAGGGAGGAGCACGCACGGAATCACACCAGGTTCTTTGGTACAACGCTTTGAATGAACTTCCAGGGACGCAGTGACACATGAAAATCCAATGCTTAATCATCATGTTCTCCACATGGTCCCCACTTAAAGTGACTATAATATACTATAATCCCATTTTCAGACACACTCAGAGGTTGCTCAGGTCAGTATGACTTTCTGATCACTGGAATGATGGGCATTGGATTGCGATAACTATCCCCTGAGATAGCCGAGTTTTTCAGATTAGTGAATTATTACAATTATTACAATTATTACATCAATTTACCATAATCTACATTAGTTTACCAAGATTTACCATCATTTGCCATAATTGACCAAAATTTACCATAATTGACCAAACATTACCATATAATTGACCATCATTTACCCAGATCCATCAGCCAGCTAGTCTTGACCGGCCACTTGAGGAGGCGCTTTCGGAAGGCCAAGAGGGCGGTCAGGCTGGAGAATCCCGGAGCTTTCAATGGAGGTTATACCTGGAGGAAATCCATCTATAATAAATCTGCATAAATTATAACGACTTCACTGCGACCTCACTGGAATCATGGTTAGTAAGGGAAATCATTCCCAAATGGCCTTAATTCATCTTGATTCAGATGAGTGAAATATTATAATTTACCCAGATAAATGATGACTGGTTGGTGTGGAACATTTTTTATTTTCCATTTCATATATCCGATGTCATCTTTCCCATTGACGAAGTCCATCATTTTTCAAGATGGTTATTGCACCACCAACCAGATGATGAAGTTTTAATTACCACGTGACCGGAGGGGGTACATTTCTGGGTGGAAAGCTTGGATGAATATGCGTTTTTTTTTTTTGTGTGTGTGCGGTATCTAAGGTGGGCCATGATGTGTTGCAATGCCTTGCACCCAATTGGCTTTACGTTTTGGAGCCATCGCCGGCTTCAGTGGATCTTGGGATTAGGCTTTCTACATGTTTTTACTAGGGTTTGCACATGTGTTCTTTTAAAAAAGCAAACGAGTGATTCCATGAGCATGTGGCATAGGGCTAGTGCATAAATAAGGCTCCAAGCAACGCTGCTGCAGCGTCGTAAATGCAGGCTGCAGGTGTTTTGTGCCATTGATTGTTTGTTCACATTCCATCCGCAGCATAGATAGCTGAAGTTCTCCCACTTACAGGAATTGATAGTAAATGAATGTAGACGATCTCAGATTCGATTGCATCAGGTATGATCAGACATTCAGTGTGTGTGTGTGTGTTTGAAAGCAATGGTCAGATGAGATGATGGAAGTGGGAAACCCTGGCTGCCACAAACCTACCATTTGGGTTTCAATTCCCAGCCATACCCAAAAAAAGGTGCTTTTATGTGATTTGGGGAACGACATGTTATTGGGTTTACCACATTACAGATATGATATGATATGTTTGACCATTTTTTACCATCAAACATGGGAACTAATTTATATACATGAAATGCTGGGACATTTTCATCAACATATGGGATATATAATGACATTAACCGCAACATATTATGTTATGATAGATGGTCATCAACTATAAAATTACACTTAATAACTAGTTATAACATGTTACAATTACAAATCGTGAATTTGTTTCACTGACCCGCGCACTGTTGCAAAAAGGCGCACAAACAAAAATAGTAACTTTCTCTCTCTCTCTCTATATATATATATATATGACAAAAACCACAATATCTCATTCAGACCATGTTGAGATCTGCGGCACAGGACGATTTCGCCAATGACGAGCCTTCGGATGAGCCTGAGGGCTTTCCCGATGAGCTCGAGCCGTTGAACGTCACGCGGGACGAAGGGCCACGCGGAGATGCCAAGAAAAAGAAGAAGAAGGTGGGGGACCTCTGAGCTGCGAGCCCCTTTGGGCCCTCTTTGAGGGGGTGCTGATGATGCTGATGTTTGTGTTGTCTTTATGCTGATGTTTGTGTTATATATATATATATATATTAATATAATGATTGTTGAATGGATGTATTTTTTTCGGTAATATCATAGGGGAATGTTCAATATGCTTATATTAGCAGAGTGCATTTGGCAAAGATACGGTTTGGAAAGGGATGACTGAAGCGTTTTCATTGACCTGCTGGGACGGTGGAAAGGGACCTGGCACTTTCATTGGGACCCTTCAAGTCTCCAAAAACAAATGGTCAAAGTCCCAAAAGCTGCAGCTTGGATTATTGATATTATGTAGAGATAGATTTATTATATTATATATATATATACACGCGCCAGTTTTCTATGTACTCGGATGGTCTAGGAACATTTACATCCATTTCTATCCCCTCAACCATCCCCACATGCTGCGGAGCTCATTGGAACGGGCGAGGCTCCCAAGAAGGGCGGGAACGGAAGTCACGGAAGTCGCAGCCGTCAAGTGGCAGTGTACCTGGGCAACCTGGGCAACCCTCTGGTACCATAGCTATGTTAGTCATAACCAGAGGGTATAGTTCCATTATTTTCATTTATTTTCCATTTACCCGGCCTGGTAAACAAACAGTTTGCGACATGGAAAATGGCCCAGTCGAAATAGTGAGTTTTCCCCATTAACAAAATGGTGGATCTTTCCAGTTTGCTTTTTGTATGTTTACCAGAGGGAATCTCCGGTGGTTTGCTGAAAACTCCGCCATGGAGTCCCATGGAGGACTGGTTGGTGGATTATTTTCCCCAATAGTTGGGATGATGATCCAATCTGACGAACTCCATCATTCTTCAGGGTGGCTCAATCACCAACCAGAGGATTTTCCCAGAAAAAACATGTATGGCTCATGGGCCATTTCTCATTGCGTGTTTGATTACCAGAGGGTAGGTCAGACACCTGGGATCACCTGGGTATAGCGGCACACCCTCAAGTGACAATCTTCATGGTAAAAATGAGGATGAAACATCAACTTTGGGAAAATATCCTTTCAGAAAATGGGTGCGCTTCCACTTGAGATGGTTAAAAATATGGCTCAACTTGTCGATATCCCCGGCTCCGCTATGTGGAACGGATCGGCCAAAAAGGGGGGCAGCTAAAAAAGAAGATTTTCCAACCACATGATAGCAATTTGAGTTGGGAAGTGGGAAGAATTTCATGGATATGGCCCTAATCGGCAATGACTATGGCGATAGTGGATTGACCACGAGGCTGAGGTTAGTTGACTCCAGAATCACTGGGACATAGACCCTGAAAAAACCCGATGACTGCCAGGGTCGAACTGTTAATTTACTGGAGGGTATGATATATATAGACACGTAGTTTATTTGTGTTTAGTAAAACATGTGGGAGATTTGATGTTTCAAAAGAGTGTGTGTCCACCATGTGGCCACTACACTTTGAAATGTATTTAAATGATTTTACCTGCAGGACCGGAAGGAACGTTCAATTTAATATCCTTTCACTTGACATCGCCCGTGGCTTCCGTGGCCCGTATTGACAGTCCGACTGACCCATCAGGACCTCAAAAATGTTTCTCGCCATATTCAGGTCGTTGACAAGTTGACCCCAACTAGATTCACTAGATGTTCTTGAGAAAGGTAATGTGATTCAGAATGATTACCCATAGGATCCATGTATGGTGTATATATACTAACATTGGGGGTATATTGATGGTAAATGTTACCATATATAGCATACATGGATCCTATGGATTATGGTCTTACTTATCGTTGTTACTACATTACTAGACTGCAAGCAGTGCTAAGTGGCATACCATTCTATACCATGCCACTCTCCGCTTTTTTCATCACTAGGCCAAGATCTCGTGTGCGACCGCCGAAGAACCAGAAGGAAGAAAACACGAAGGAGATTTGGCAATGGTCCATGGCGGGGAAATCTGCATGACATGAAGGTGGTGATAGCTGGGGAGATCATCTACAAAGCTGCATGTTTGGTTCAAAGATGAGAATCTAAGCGTACTCCTAACCGTACTATGTTTGCCTCATTTCGCAAAGTGTTCCTGATTTTTTCTTGATGCCAGAAAATGACTAGTGATCAGGGCTGCGATAGCCGACTGGTCAAGCTATCCTTTGATTGGCAGCATGGGCTGGTCCCTTTGTTCCAAGTTCGCATGAGGAGGTGCTCAAAGATGCTCGAATCTCGGCTTTCTGGATCCCTCAGTTTAGTATCAATCCCTCCAGATGGTTGTGCTTCATACATTTCATACTCCAAGTCGCCATGATTTCAAGGGGTACATTACCGTACCCCGTTTGTCCAAATATTTGGTTATCCATTTATATCCCAATTATATGATATTATATGCGCATGATATTCCCATCTATCGATAATTTACTAGTGTTAATTACCAATTGTTTCAACTGGTTCCCAAAAAAATGTCATCCGATGTGGTTTTTGTGGGCGAAACTGACAAATAGAGCTTCAGTTTTTCCCTATATATCGAGGTGCCAAATTCAGAAATCCTTGATTTCGGTGTGTGATAAAGGGGATGGTCATGACTGCATTTTCCGGTTTTGATCTATTTTTACACCCTGGTAAATTAACAGTGGGACCCTGATTTTATCACCAATGTTTAATGGAAACTCGTCTTCCAACCCCGATGACTGCCAGGGTCGAACTGTTAATTTACCAGAGGGTATCATTTTATATTTATTTATAGCTATTTGTTAGGTTGGATTGTTATCCAACACCAGGTTTTGACCGCACTTATAGATGTTGCAATAGGAGAAGTTCAGCTTTTGATCAGATTTGGAGTTGGAGCTAGCTGGCTGAAACTGATGTGAGTTGCAAGTTGCAGTACCTCCAAAAGGCAAAAACAGTTTGAACAACGGTGGTACCCTCTGGTAAACATACAAAAAGCTATTGAAAATGGCCCATTTATAGCTGATTTACATTGATTTACCCATTAAAATGGTGATTTTCAAATATGTTCAATAGCTATGTTAAGTTACCAGAGGGTTCAATAGCTATGTCATTGTTGCGATTCGAAATGAACAGTTGCACTTTTAGAATCACTGGATATCAACACATCTATAGTCATCTATCTATTTACATTATTGCTTTATTTTTGTTTTTATTTATGTGCATATACATACACACGCACACACACACACACATATATATATATATATATACGCATAGGATCCATGTATGGTATATATGCTAACATTTGGGGTATATTGATGGTAAATGTTACCATATATAGCATACATGGATCCTATGGGATATATATATATATATACATACATGATTGTGTTTATTCCAGCTACGGAGTCGATTTCTCATCTTGTTGGCACTTCTCAAAGCCATGTTGCTTCTTTTGCGGGGGCCTCCACACTCTTTTTACGGGCCTTGAATGCCCAGGTAGCAGAAGCCTTGGGCCCGCTGCTCTCTTTCTGGTCATTTTGCTGGTCGTGGCAGCGATGGTTCTCATGGCTTCTTGGAGCCTAATTTATGAGAAATTTTCCTCAGTTACTTTTGATAGAACTAGTGGTTCAATTAGAAAAAAAAAAATCTATAGTATATACTGAAAATACTTTATATATTTATGATTAGATGATCAAAACGAAGTGTGTCATGAATGTTCCGCAGACATTCCACCTGCAGCGTCCCGTGGGCCGTCTTCCAAGGCCCCACGGCAAAAGGAAACGCCAAGAGGAAAAACAACAGGACCTCCATGGGCCGATCCAGAACGATAGAATAGTGATTCTGGGTAAAAAATTAGCGACCTCACTGTTCTCTCACTATAATCATAGTTAGTAAGGGGAAGGTCCACCAAAAATGGCCTTACTATTCAGGTTAGTGAATTATTCTAATTTACCCAGGTGATTCTCTGTGATATGGGTCTGTCTGATGGTAAGTACATGTAATTCCTGTTCCAAATTTGATGCTTAACCATTCTTCTCAAAACTAGAGGTGCCAGTTGGGGCTGGTCTCCATTTTCAGACATACCCTTTGGTTATTGAACATAGCCATGGTATAAATGGCCCATTTATAGATCGTTTACCTATTGAAAATGGTGATTTTCTATGTTAAAGAACCAGATGGTATATGGAGGTTTCCTAAAATAGGGCTACCCCCAGTCATCATCCATTTATAGAATTTTATAGATTGATTGTCCATTATAAACCATCCATTTGGGGTACCCCCATTTATGGAACCCCCATGTGTTTGTGGGGACAGCGCAGCCGCGCAGCATGCTGCCGCCGACAGGACGAGACGCACGAAGCTCAATACCTGACCATTGCACTGCAGAGAAGCTACGCCTGCAGGGAAGATGCGGGAAGATGTGGGAAGATGCATACAGGATGGGGCCCCCCAGTGATGTTTGTTGGTTTATAAACCATGATAATCCCCATTAACCATAGTTATATCTACCATAAACCACATAGTTAAACCACAAAAAAAAAACATGTGGGAACATCTGGGAATATGCATATCAAATACATTCAAATACCCTCCGGTCATCAATAAACATAGCTGGGAAATCCCCTTATGAATATGATTGAATATGGTCATGTCAATATGAAGATCAACTGGTCTGGGAATTGCCCAGTCGGCTACGGCTACGGGGAGATGTTGAGATAGAAGCAACGGAGCAACATGGGCTTACAACATCTAGAATCTAGAATGGATGGATGGAGAGAAAAATAAGATAAGATCATATGTATATGTATCATATGTGTGTGTAAGGGCAACAAGGACAGTTATAACTTATAACGGATAGCTGAATGGATAGATAGATTGGTATTTTTTATGTTTTTTTAAAATGAACATATGCAACAACACTGGATCATGTTTTCTGTGCCGAAGGTTAGTTTGTTCCCAGGATTTATTCAACAAATGATTCAGACAAGTCCTGTTTGATGATTTTTGTTTGGTCACTTTTCGGATCTTAGAGAGGCTAGACCCTCTGAAACGATATAATTATAATATTCACTCAATCAAAAAGGTTTTCATGCAGAGTCAGCTGTTTACTGCCACCCTTCCTGGCGCTTCCTGGACTTGATAGAAAGGTAGTTTTTTTCGAAAAGCCCGAGATTTACTGCGAAAACCTATCGACTAATCCTTTCCCGAAATATTAAACACCATAAACTATGGCTTTCGTGTGGGATTTACACATCTTTAGGGGGTGTTGAATGCATCTTTCAGGGTTTTTTGACCCTTCCCTCCTGCAGCCCAGGATTCCATCCAATGTGCAGCTGATTCCAGAGGGGCGAACGCCCCCAGCGCCGCCAACCGGTGGAGTTCTGCCAAGGATCTCCTTGTATTCGCCCTGCTTCTCGTTCTGATGGGAATGGGATTTTTTTTGGCTTCGAAGACGTTGGTCACTAGATTTTATCAGATTTTATCGATATCACTAGATGATCATGAATGATACCTATCGCCTACTATTTCGACTAGATGAAATACAGTGTGTATATATATAATATAATATAATTTATATATACACAAATATATGTATATAATATATATACCTATATTAATATATAAAGATATAATGAATAATGATGTCGAATGTTTCTATATCCTGTCTCACGTTGTTTTCTTTTTGATACGTCCCAGGTTTGTGGAACAACTACGGCAAGGCAGCCAAGAACTGGGCTCCGAGTGCGCTGTGGCATCTCGGCAGCGGCTGCTGCTGGTTTTTGTATTATTTATATGTACACAAACATGTAGCACAAAACATATTCCTGGCATTTATATATCCATAGTATGGGACATTGGATATTTTATGGATATATTCCATGTATATGTGTCCTATATCTTTTTTGTTGTTATAAGCACTCTGGTTTTTGGATGCTTGAGCTGGATTTTTTTTCACAAAATCTAGCCACAAAGTGGGGAGTTTTTTTGTTTGTGTATCCGACATTGGGGAAAGCGTTGCGAAAGAACAGCTGTGGTGAGGTCTTGGAGGAAGACGCGGCCGGGGGAGATGGAAGTTCTTGAACTTCAACACCCCCATGAACGACCTTTGCCCCTCGGATCTGCATGGTTCTTAAAGATGAACAAATTATTCCAGTGGCCCCTGGAGGATAGCTAACTTGGTTGCAATACTCCAAAAACTACTGTATATCAACCCAACTTGGTTGCAATACTCCAGCTATGGATTATGGAAGATATGTCGTGATCATGCATGATATATCGAACTGGTTAATGGGGCTGTAAACCAACAAACATAACTAAATGGAAATGGGAGGATGATCGCCGCACTAACCAACTGATAACCATGTGAATGGTGAAGTTTCCCAACCTCTATATCAAGTTCTATTTGGAACATGAACCATTATTGGACTATCCAGTGATTCGGAGGGGGGCATTTAGATGCATTTAGAAGATATTGTGGTGATTTTATGGATATTTATGGTATCCATATTCCCTCATTCAATGGGGAGCCGTTCGGAGCTACGAATCCAATGGGGTTTGATTGTCAATGGATTGGTGAAGGCTTTACCCTCTGGTAAACATACAAAAAGCTATTGAAAATAGTGATTTATAGTGGATTTACCCATTAAACATGGTGATTGTCCATAGTTATGTAAACGTTTATCGGAGGGTACTATGAAAAATCACATGTTTTAATTAGGTAAATGCAATTATAAATGGCCATTTCCAATAGCTACGTTAAATTACCAAAGGGTAAGGCTTTAAGGGAACACCAGTTTCTCTTCTGACTCCCAAATTTTCACGGGTTTTCCGGTGTCGATGTTTCATGTTTTCTTGTATCAGCAGATTGGCGTAGGGTATTAATTATATTGTGTCTGATTTTTTCCCGGTGGTTTTGATGAGAAACATGACTGGTTTGCGATTTTGGAGAATGTGTTTTACTAAAACATCTGAATTCAGTTGATCCCAGATGACTAACTTTTGAAATATGTTATAAGTTGCTTGTTTTCGGGGTGTTTGCGCATAGACATTGGAAATGGTGGCTTATGGAGGTTCACCTGAGAAGCGTTGGGATAGAACCCATCAATGCTGCCGGCGTTTTTGTTTTTCATATTTTCCATGCCTGTTTGGGAGGAGGATCATGGACCAACTAATTGAGCCTGACTGATTAATCAAATAGCAAGAAAGATACGGGATTTACACATCCATCATGCGGACACATATTGACTAGCATGTCGAACAAACAAAAAACACTTGAGTTTTCAGTTGCTGGTTGCTTTTCACCAATGCTGGGGGTGAAAGCTGCCAGCCAATTTGCATGTTGGTGAACACGTCAACTGCTGGCCATGTCAGGTTTTACTTATTTCGATATATTTCGAGTTCCTAAAAGGGGCTTCTTTCATACCTTGCTAAAGAAGTATTGCTCAGAGGCTTGATGCCACATCACCCACGACTTCATCCTTCTCCCAGGCACATTCTCAACGTCACGGGATCCACTCAGAAGCAACGGGGCCAGATTTACAAGGCTGTGACGCGGAATATTTTTCCAAAATTTGGAGAGTTGAATGTGCCTTGTTTTGCGAAATGTTGTGGGACGGATGGGACATGTCCTGAAAAAATCGGGAGCAACAACTGTTTAACTGTTTTTTTCGCAAAAAGCATCTAGCATCTTGAAACTATTGTAATCTAGCACGGCAACGAAGTGCATGAAGACACAACCCTTTTGTGAATGGTTGAATGGTTTTGGGTCCCAAACCAACTTGTAGTACAGCAATATCATTCGATATGAGTGTATATATATATATATGGAGAGAGAGAGAGATTAACCATAAAATCATAAATATTCATTTATAGACATATATTAATCATATTTTCAAATAAGATTTAGTAACAATGTATATAAGTATATATATAAGTATATACATATTATACACTTTATATATATACATGCATGAAAAGATATCGTTGCAGCAGATGAGGCAGGTGACTGTTACAGTTTTGAATCTTCCAAGTTACTTCTTGAAAACCTTGAAAACCACTAGCCCTGCTTAGGAAGAGACCTATGGATGGTACCAGGCACAGTATAGTACCGGTCTGGTAGTAATGCTGCCAGACCCTGCTGCTCGACTGCCTTGTGGACGAAAAACCCCCGGGGATGGGAAGGTCAGCCAGGTTTCCCAGTGTCGATGGTGTCCAAAAGCTGCTGCTATCCCAAGTTAATGTATTTCATTCAGAACTTATTGAACATATTGAACACACACACACACACATATATATATATATATATGTGTGTGTGTTCTGTAGCAGTGATGGATCTTTATTTTTTGTTGGGTTCCAGTGTTTCATGGGAAATTTGGAGCAGCGGAGCAATTTGGCGATTCAGCCCAGCGGATTGGTGATGTCTTGAGTGCAGACTGCAGATCATTTAAGTCATGTTTCACATAGATCCTCCAAGTATACATACCCTCTGGTAATTTAACATAGCTATTGAAAATCACAATTTTTAATGGGAAAATCCACTATTTATGGCCATTTTCAATAGCTACGTTAAATTACCAGAGGGTAGAGCATTGGGATTAGCAGATATTAAAAGAGGAAATGTGAATTCCCCTTGGGACTTTTCCCATCTTTTCCCCCATTTTGCTCATGGCTACTTGAAGGGTCTAAGTGACTAAGTGGTAGCTCCATACCAACTGGACCAGGAAGCGCACATCACCTTAGTCAAAGCTCAAGCGCAGTGGAGAAGCACCTTCGAAGGCAGTGCACCAAGTGCACCGAAACTGCACGGAAAGTGTATCCCATACACAGATGATCACCAAGTCACCAATGGCCTTTTTTTTTATGGACAATTCTATGAATTTGTGATTGACTTGGCGTCGTGGGGTATATTTGTCCCTTGTTCAGTCAAGCCGAAACGAAAACCTGAGGCTAAATATTGAATCGTTTAAATCGTTTTACATTTGCATCATTAATCAATCATTAATCGTTTACATCATTTACATCATTTACATCATTTACATCATTTACATCATTTACATCATTTACATCATTTACATCATTTACATCATTTACATCATTAATCATTAATCATCATTAATCATCAGTAATCATCATTAATCATCATTAATCATCATTAATCATCAGTAATCATCATTAATCATAAGTAATCATCATCAATTAATCAATCATGTCATGTGTGAACTTGGACGGTTTGTTTTTTCTTGTCCAAACAATGCCATGGCTGGTCGCTCGGGTCGATGGGATCATGGTGTTAGGAAACCATCTCAAGACGTTTCATCCAGACCAATCGATTTGTATCCAAATTGGAGCCCGATCTCAAATGATATCATGTGGGTCAAACAATAAACCAGCCCCCAGTCATCACCAGGTGGTATAAACTCGCCATTCCCAGTCATGGGTGGTGTGTGTGTGTGTG